GTGGCCAAATCCCAGTCCCAGCAACCCAAATCCCATTTTCCCAGTCTAAAAATAGATCAATCCCAGTTCCCATTTTACCCCTTCAGGGCCCTCTTAAGAAGTAACAATAACAACTATGATCTTGGAAAACCGGAAACAAATTTTATGAAAAAGAGCTTCAGTTATTCAGCTGCATCCCTTTGGAGTGACTTATCAACTACAGCAAAAGAAAAAGGCATTAGCCTTAAGGGGTCCTGCTACCAAAAGAATTTTAAAAAATTCAAAAAAAATTTTTTGGTCTTAAAATCATCATTAGTATGTGTAGATGTCTGTGAAAGCAAAAATAGGCCTGGTAGAACTTTGCTTTCTCACAGAATTTCATTTTTTTGAAAAGGTAGGCAACCATTTTTCACGTTGCCATGGAAACAGGTTAGTGTATTTTATTTGTATTGCCTTGTTTCTTGGTTGTTTGTGGGCGGTTTGAATTTTTTTTTGCTGATTATGTAAATCCACAACCTGAGGGACTGGTAACTAGTTAAGGCCTGGTCGCATAGCTATTCTAGACCACATTTTTCTGGTGAACACTTTTTTCCATCCAGCAAACCGCCCTATCGATTTTGTAAAGTCGTTTCTTTTTGGATTTTTTCATTAATTCGGTTAGGGTTAGAGTTAGGATTGAGGTTAGGGGTTAGGGTAGGGGTAGGGTTTGGGTTAGTTACATAGCCATTTAACACCTGCGAAAATGACGCCAGGTCAGTTTGCTGGATGGAAAATAGTGCTAACCCATTTTTCTTCACTGTTCGAAAACATTGCTATATAGAGCTGGAAACACATCAAAGATTCACACTTTGTTTGTATTTTATATTATTTTGTTGCTTGTTGGTATCTGAAAATAGTCTCTTAGAGATTATGTTTTCTTTGCAATGCCAAAAGTATAAAAAAGCGGCAATTTCGTGGCCAGAGTCGATGGGATGTTGACAAATCAAATTCAAACAACAGCGTGTACACCAGTGCTTGCTTCTGTATGAAAAGTAACGAGTCAGAGTAATGAAAGAAGCGAAGATTTTGATGAGGCCACATAGCTATAGACTGATTGAGCTGTCAAATTTAGTCAGTGCATTTCAGCCTTTACATAAATTGGCATCTGGAGGAGAGTTGAGAGTATAAAATGAAGACGAGGCTCGTAGATTGGGAATAGCTCTGTGATCAATGTAGAGTGTTCCAAATGCGACGTCAAGATCGAGCTTCAAACCTCTGGGAACAACAACCAAGTGTGGAAACCCAAAAATACCATGAACACAAACAGGAGTATGGTTTACTCAGGAAAGCTGTTGTGGAACAGTCACAGAAGGCGTGAAACAAGGTGTTTTCACTTCATCGCTCTGATGAAACTGATGTCGCAGAGATTGCGGTGAGCTATGATGGTACGTGGTCCAAACGAGGATACACAGCTAATATCGGGGTTGGTTTTGTCATCTCGGTTAAAACTGGTGAAGTGCTTGATTTCCAATTTGAGTTGAAGCTGTGCTCAGAGTGTACATCAGCAAAGAAGGATCCTGGTGATGATTCTGCCAAGTATGCCATTTGGTACGGTGGGTGATGATGAAGATGACTTTGATGATGAAAATGACTATCCGTTATAACCAGATTTGCTCATAATGATGAGTCTAATGACACTGATGATGCACCATTGGCTCAATTTGCCAGTAGAAATCAGGAAAAGTGACTGTGACATTCTTGCAATGATAAGTGTTGACTTTGGACAGGTACATTGCACCCAAACATCAGAAAACACTAGCAACATTGTTTACTAACTTTAAATGGCGTTTTCCCAAAAACCGTACTTTGGCTAGTAGCCGTTACTTAAATCCTATCTTCTCAAAGAGTATTTAAGCAATCTTGCTGATTTTTTCTGAGATTGTTCTTTGGATGTTTCTGCACAAATTAATGGATGCTTTTTACACTGTGATCAAAATTGAATGTTCTACACCAAAATTGGTATTGATGAGTAAGATCCTTACCTAATACTTGTTGCCATGGCAACAAAATAGAGTGTTAGACAAAAAGCATCCATTATTTTGTTCACAAGGATGTAATCTATTACTCAACTTAAATTCATCAAGTATGGATGCTTAGATTTTGACTAGATAGATTTTAAATATAGAAAGTTGAAAATTCACTTCTCTGGTTTGCAAGGTTGTCATACATTTAAGTTTTTTCTTGGGAGGTCATCTGTGATAATATTTGTGTAGAGCATGTTATAAGCTTCAAAATGATATATGGCATGTTGCATATGCATTAAACCATAATAAGATAGAGCCGATGATGCATCATAGGTTCGCGAACAAATAATTCAGGTAGCAGGACCCCTTAACAAATTTAAACGTATTCTTGACGGCACTTGAGGCCTTTTGGTAACTTTGTAAATATTTAAATAGGATAGGATATTTTTAGATACAAATGTAGTGCATGCAATTATTAAGTTTGTTATGTTTTCTCTGTTTTTGTGTGTATATTTGTGTTATTATATTTATATAGCTTGTAAATACTGTAATAAACGGTCTCTTGAAAAACAGGTGCCTACGAGCCCTGAAGAGCTACCGTTTTAAAATATTTTTAAATAATAATAATAATAATAAAAATTATTTCATTTTTTCCTTCAATCAACGGTGTCGTGAAATAATAGCTTTCCGCTGCATTTATAACTCTTTTTGTAATTTGTATTCACATTTAGTTATAAAAAAGTGCTAAAGGTAAGAAACATTTTTTACTCTTGACATATACAAGGTTGCGTGAATTTTGCGAGACATGGCGGATGTCCGGGGGGAGGGGGTTCTCTAATTCGGACAATGTCGGACAAGGGGGTCTGAAAATCCATCATTTGGCCGGACATCCTTTGCGAATGGCCCCTAAAGAGAAAACACGTTAAATGAAAGAGCCGTGAAATATACTTTAGACTTGAAAACACTGTAATAATACACCAGCTAAAAATTGATTTCCGGCTGATAACTGTAATATTTTTTTGGTTCGACCGTATAAGTACGGTGCCCCGCGAACAATCTCGTACTTTTTTGCGTACATATCTACTTGAGATATTTGAGTACAAAATGATTTCAAAATACTTGACAATTTAATTCAGTTGGGAAACATAGTCACATACAGTGGCGTAGCCAAGGGGGGGGGGGGGGGAGGGGGGGGGCGACCGCCCCCCCGATCGAAAAAAAACCATTCTCTGAAAAAGGCTAAATCCGTAGAGAAATTGGTGGGGGGGGGGGGCTACACGTTACATCCTCGAAGATGAAACTGATTAAGTACATCTCGACTGAGGAAAACGACGATATACTGGAGGAACTTGATTTGTAAAATCTCGTTAAAGCAGTTGTAGATATGGTTTCAAGAAGAAAAGATCTAGTTTAGATTTACATGTATGCATTATCATAGCATGAATATTCTTCTCAGACTTATTCTGTATCGTATAAAAAAGCAACGCAATTTTGAGAATGCGGAAATGCTGTCTGATAGAACCTAGAACGATTTAAATGCAACATTTCTGATCAAAATCACATTGGGATTTTCTTCCCCCAGCATAACAGAGGGGAAATAAGGTGACGCTGACCGGCTCCTTCTGTTTTTTATGATGACTTTTCCAATTTATTTAATTCCGAGTAGATAATTAGAAATGTCTGGGAAAATTTATGTTTTCGATCTACTTTATAATCTTCGGAATTCTGCAAGATTTCACCCCCAAAATGCTTGAAATCGCATTTCAGGGACTCTAGATTTCAAAATTTTCTCGGGGGTGCATGCCCCTGGACCCCCCTAGATGGTCTCGCGCCTTCGGCGTTCGGTTCGCCCCAAAGATGAAGGTCTGGCTACGCCACTGGTCACAGAGTTTTATATTAGAACAAAATTCAGTAGATTCTATGGTTAGTCAAAGTAGATAATCCACAACATGTTCTCAAGGCCTCTCAACAATTTCTCATCCCTTCCCCAATTTTTCATTGGACTCGGCCGCCCTGCTCGTCTCCCTTGAGCCGCTGGAATCACCAGTGTTTCTCCTGGTACTCTGATGTTTTCAATGATGGCCTTTCCTGAACATTTTTAATTTAGATTGGGTTCAAAACGACAAAACAGGAAAGGTCAGTTCAAAACTGATGATCTAAAAAAAGTGAGTGGAATATGAATTCATTACCATTCCCAACGCGGTTTGTCCACAATTTACCGGGAAAGAGCGCGAAATCGAATTTATGTTCCGTGGTGGCATAACTTTCGGTTCGGGTTTGTTCTGAAACCTTTTGCAATATTTTGTTCAATTAACAAACACCGATCGCAGCTATGAATTCACACGATTGTAGGTCGAATATTAACGATAAATTGGGCAAAGTCTCGGTTGTTCTCGGAGCACAGTGGGGCGACGAAGGCAAAGGAAAAGTTGTGGATTTATTGGCATCCAATGCCGACGTTGTTTGTCGCTACCAAGTATGTAAAACTATCGGTTTATTGCTGTTTATAATTGATGTACGCTATTCCCATGTGGTTCAATATATTTGTATCGAAGTCCCAGATTTTCTTAGACTACATGTGATAAATTTTGTTATCAGATTCTCTCGGTATATTCTGTTACAAATATGTACAATATTTTCAATGATCTTTGTAAATTTTAAAATACTGTTCAGTATGCTCGCTAATTTTATTGGTGAAATTTAAACATTTTGGTAAAAAGTTGCAAGTTTAACGCACGCCGGATATTAGGAAGTACGGATTGTGAAATTTGTAAAATAAAATTACTTAGTCTAGCGTTCAGAAGGTGTGAAAGTTTTGAAATTTCGTGACAGCATGCTTCGAACTAACTGTTTGAAGTGGCATGTGGAGATTAGATCTTTGGTCATGCTTGCTTTTGTGATGCACTTCGTATATAAATGTCAGGATGTTATAAAGTTAGTGCAAAATATTAGATACTTTATATAAGAAATTAGGTGATACATATACAATATCACACAACACTTTTCCTCAATAAGTATTAACATGTATGATGTCAAACAGAGTTAGGGGCTTCATATATGCTTGACTAGTTCCAAGAAAAAAATTCTGTACGATATTTATGGGAAAATATTTTTCAAATTTTTGTCAGTGGTGGTAGCTGGGGAAGGCTTGATTTTATTTATTCCTTACTTGCCTATATACTTGTCATAGGTTTTTAGGCAGTACTTAAATTGTAATACACAATTTCCAGCCGTACAATCTAAGATTTTGTCTTGTGTTACATCATTCTATCAGGAAACCCAATTTCTAGCCTAATTTCCAGGTGGATACAATTCCATCTGTGTATACAAAACTATATATATGAAGCAAGATTTCAGCACTGGTGAGGCAACTTGGCAATGCCAGTGGAAACGGACTGCCGAGATGACTGGCAGAAATAACAAACTACGATATATTACAGGTTAACAAGAGACAGCACTCTCCCCTTGTAGAATAAAATCAATTGGTGTTAGACAGAACATTAAATGTAGGGTGCATTAGGGGGCAATGCAACTTAATGGGTTAACTGGACACATTGGCAGATAGTCTGATTAACCCATTGAGCATCAGTGCTCTCCCCCTGACAAGTAAAATCATCTGGTGTTAGAAAGAGTGAACTAGGGTGCAATGCAACTTTATAGGTTATAAAGTACCCCCTCTCCAATGGTAATCCCTGTCTGCACACCATGGTAATAGAGGATTTATGATAATACTCGACATCATGGTACATTAGACTCTATTAGAGTGCATTGCCACTTTAATAGGTTAATATATTTTGCAAGGTTTAATAGGTTCTTTTGTTTGCATTTGTCAATTGTTTATCTTATATTTGTGTTTAGGGTGGTAATAATGCAGGACACACAGTTTCAGATGGAACTACCACATTCTACTTTCATCTTATTCCAAGGTATGACCAATACAGTTCCCCATTACCCATATTCATCTGGACTGAAAACATCATGAATCAATTTACGCAAGTTATATTCTCCTGGCAGAAATATATGTGCTGGTTGCTTTAATTAGTATTGATATTCTCCCTTCTGACCTAATTATAACTTATTTTGTTCTGTTTTAGTGGGATTATTCACAAGAATTGTAAAAGTATTATTGGTAATTAAATTGTTATACTTACGGCTTTATGACTTCTTCTTTCCATGTTCATTGAATCAAATCAGATTGTGAATTAGATACAAATATTTAAAGATGTGTGACTTTGTGTGAAACTGTTAAAGTGTCGATGCATATGTTAATGGCTTTGATTTTTTTTATGTTTAAAGGCAATGGAGTGGTTGTTCATATTCAACAATTATTTAATGAAATTGAAGAGAATGTCAAGAAAGGTTTGTTTTTGACCAAGCAAAATATTCTGTTCACAAATCATACCCTCTCATACATTGGTCATACATAACATTGTTTCTTAGCCCATTAATGTTGGAGTAATTTTAATGCACAATTTTCCTCTGCGTTTTAAGGTTTAACTGGATGGGAAGAGCGTTTACTAATATCTGATCGAGCACATATTGGTACGGATCTTCTGAATTGGCGGAAATTAAATGCAAAACATTATTTTAACATTGCCAATCTTACTAATAAAAACAATTTTTATATTGTAGTGTTTGATTTTCTTCAACAAGTTGACGGAATTCAAGAGAACTCACAACGTAAAGTTAGGTACATATAGTATATAGGTTGTTTATTTTATAACTTAAAGGTTTGCATGATTTTATTTATAGTTTGCATTGTCGGAAATTCATGGAATGCAAAAGTTATGCTAAACGAAATTCAACTTGGTGTTTTAAAAACAAAAGTAGTTAATAGTTATTTGCACTTTCAACAAAAAGGTCATTACATTTTCATTTTAATTATATTTAAATGCTTTATAGCCTCGGGACTACAAAAAAAGGAATTGGGCCAACTTATGCTGCTAAGGTATAAATGTAATCGACAAAAATTATGTACACTTTAATTAGCCTGCAAGGCAGGTGCTCGCGGTTTGGATTAGGGTGTATCCTAATCCGTGAGAGTCTGCCTTGGAGGCTATACTTAGTTACTAAGGTAGAATAAACTGCTGGAATAAACTGCTTTCCATTCCTTTTTATTTCTTCCTCTTTAGTTGGTCTAAAGAAGCCTTTGAAATATCCCCATAACATTTCTGTGTTGATTTTAATATAATTTCATATCTTTGATTTGCAAGATGCAGTTTTTGGAATTTGGTTTATTCTATATGTACAATTGACTGCTGGGAATGGATGTGGTCCAAGAGTAAGATAAACTATGGCCATGTTACACGACTCATGAGTACATGTTTCTACTTCGTATCTAGGCGTCCAGATCTGGTATAAGAATATGCGATTTGATTGGAGACTTTGAGTACTTCAAAGAGAGGTTGGTGAACAACATACATGTCTCTATTCTTGTGATAAACTCAGCGTCTGTCAAATTTTCTCAAAAATATTATGTTTAATTTCTTTTTAGATTTCAAGCACTTGTTGTTCACTACGAAAGAGCGTAAGTTTCATTTTACAAAATAAAAAACAAAAGATGTTTTACCTGAGTTTTAAGGAAGGAAATTCCGTAAAAGCTATTCAATTTCTTATCATTTAATGACGAGTTGTTTCTTTGCAGATATCCTGGCTTGAAGATAAACGTTGAGGAAGAACTGCAAAAATATAAGGTTACTGCGTGTTTGTTGCATGCTTAGTGGTTTTAGTTTTCAATTGTTGTTATAACTTTTTTGGTCACCTCCAACTTCACCTTTCGTACGATATTTTCCCTTTAAATTCATTTATTACTCAGTTCGCTATTTTCTTCTTCAGCATACAATATATTCCTTTTAACTTCCATATTCACAACATTTTTCTCCATGTTCACCATATTTTCTCATATTCGCCGTATTCTCCAGTTTCACCCGGGCACATTCTTCTCCATATTCACCATATTCTTCGGCATATTCACCACATTTTTCTTTACCTCATAATTAGTTTACTCTTGTAATTTTTGTTTAGAAATGTGCAGAGAAAATCCGACCTTATGTGTGCGACACAGTTAGTTTCATGCACGATGCTTTGGAAAACAAGAAACGAATTCTCGTTGAAGGGGCAAATGCCATGATGTTGGATATTGATTTTGGTAAGTTTAAAGTGTCTATGACACGAAATTTCACCCCAAATGTTTATGATTGCATTGTAAAGATCACTTAAAATGACTTAATAATTTCTTTTATAGAATTTTGGTAACTTGCTTCCTTTGCAAGATATTCAACTTTGTTTCATATGCAAATATCACCGGTGTGACATCACATCGCATAATGACATTTTGAAAACGCAATATTTTACCTTGATAAAATATTTTTAGAAACAAATACAGATTACAGAGGGTTAATTACCAGTTATGAAATTAATACATATACAAGGGCAATTTTTAAGTTTTTTAGATACGTATTCGTCAAGAAAACTAGTATACTTTTCTGAAAACTCGTTATGTGATGTGATGTCACACCGGTAATATTTGCATATGAAACAAAGTTAAATATCTTGAAAAGAGAGCAAGTTACCATAATTCTATAAAAGAAATTATTAAGTCATTTTAAGTGATCTTTATAATGCAACCATAAACCTTTGGGGTGAAATTTCGTGTCATAGGCACTTTAAATCGAAAATATGAATAACTCCCAATAACACCACACTGTGTGAGGTCTTTGTATCTTACACTTAAAACTTAATTTTCAAAATAGTGTTCTATCGTTTTATAGGAACATATCCATTCGTGACGTCCAGCAGTTGTTCATCTGGTGGTGTGTCGACAGGTCTTGGTATCCCACCCAGAACTATTGGTTCAGTTATTGGTGTAGTTAAGGCTTATACCACCAGAGTTGGTGTCGGAGTTCTTCCCACAGAACAGTTAAATGTGAGCATTAGGATTAGAAATGCTGGGAAATGTCAGACTAGCTGACTATTCTATTGATCTCCTCAGTAAAAATGTTCAGTAGAAGTTAAATGTCTGAAATTTTTGCATACTTTTCTTTCTTTTTTTAAAAAAATGTGTAACTTGTGTAAAAATACTAAAACAATTATTCGCCTCAGGCTCGGTGATTATCGGGAAATATTCACCTCGACTTTGTCTCGGCGAATATTCCCCGATAATCACCTCGCCTTCGGCGAATAATTGTTAAATGTTCTCTGAACGTGAATGCTCACACAAACGTGAGCAAAACATAGATCAATTACTTTTGTCGTCCATTATGATTTTGGTGTTAATGAAATGTTGTTATTAGGAAATCGGAGAGAGTCTTCAGAGAGTTGGTCGTGAGTTTGGTGTGACAACTGGCAGGAAAAGGAGATGTGGATGGCTAGATCTTGTGGTCATTAGATATTCCAATATGATCAACGGATACACGAGGTAAACAGCGTTGTGAGTTCAATACTTTTGCATATGATTGTTTACGTCTGCATGTACTGTCGATGCAATGGAAGTGTTGATAAAATATTGCACCAATTCCTTTCCTCAAGTTGATCAATTCATTTGATAGAAAATTGATCAACTTTACTTTTAGATGAGCCAATTAGATTTCGTTTCAGAAACGATTGACCAATAGGAAACGCACAGGAAGTAAAAAGAAATTTGAATTCGTATGAATTGATCAACTTGAGGAAATGAATTCATGCAATATTTTATCAACACTTCCATTGCATCGACAGTAATATGTTGTAATTTAAAAAATTGTTATATTTCCCATTTTCACAGTTTAGCTGTAACGAAGCTGGATATTCTCACGAATCTTGGTGACTTGAAAATTGGAATAAATTATAAATATAAAGGAGAAACTCTGTCGTCCTTCCCAGGTAAGATGAGGGTATTAATTGAAGGTGCATTCACCCTACAGGACTGCGAATTTTCCGGCCGATGTATAACCGAACCGACGTCAAACTGGAAGCACTCTTATTACATGTGATTGAGGCGAAATTCGAATCGGAGTATCTTACAACTGGAAGAACACAGACACCGCAACAAAATGTTTCTGTTTTACTTTCAGCCTCCTTGGAAGTTCAAAAGGAGATGGAAGTCGAGTACATCACAATGCCTGGATGGACGGAAGACATCGGAAATGTTCGGAAGTTTGAAGATTTACCCGAAGCTGCTCAGAATTACGTAAGAGCAGTTGAAAAATACACAGATCTGCCAGGTGAGTGTTCAAGATATTTGAAATGCATTAGGATTAGGCAGAATTGAGAAATAATTGATTATCTTGATTATGTAAAGATGAAACCAAAACTCATAGCCAATTACTAAGGGAGCGACTAACCCCAAATATGATTTCTTGTAAAAATATGTGGGTCATTCTAAGAAATGTAATATATCTTTATAGTAAGAAGCCTCATCTTGTTCAACCTTTCACTGTCAAAGTCTCCGGATATGGTGTCGTTAGTTATTTGCAATTCATCTGATGACGTCATATCCGGCAACCTTGCAACTTTACTATAAAAATAGGGCGTTAGTTAGGGTTAGTTGCACTGTAAAGTTTTAAGAAGGAACAAAATAATGTCTCACGTACAATTGCTCCCTTATAGTTATGTCCACGGAAGACGAATTTATGTATTTTTGTTGCCTTTTTAGTGGAATATGTTGGTGTTGGACCAACACGAGACGAGATGATCAAACTTTTCTAGAACTTTCACTTTTTCACAGACATAACAGTAGCCATTTAACCTGACAATTGCACAGGGTTTCTAATAACAATAGAACAAATATTTAAAATTTAAGAGGTTGTAAGCTTTTCATTGGGATGATTTGTGAACCAAAGAACGCCAGAGGATTTCACTGACCAGTACAGGTAGTAGGAATTAAGGCAGGTTGACGGCTTTATTTACTTTATAACAGAATTGACGACATGAGTGGAAGGAATACCCAATGAGTATTGTTGTCTGTTATGTACAGCACAAATCACCAGCTAAAATTTTATTTTTTGTATCTTACTAATAGTTTTAGTTTTTAATTCGCTGTGAATTTTTTCCATAAGTTTTGTTTGTAGTTTTAGTAATATTTAATTTTATAGCAAGTTGTAAGTAATTGCAGTGTGTGAATTTAGGTAATATTTTCGAGAATAAATTTTAAAATGATTTTTGGCATCCCAAGTTTACTTTTACTCTTAAAAAATTGTTTTGACTCCTGAAACTATAGTCTGCAGAGCAGGCGTTTTGGTTAGCCTAAGCCCCTAACCAGGGCGAACGCCTGCTCTGCAGGCTACTGAAACTACGTTCCTTTAATAATTGCAACAATACTGCGATTTTTTCTGTGTTGGTGTAATGTACTCAGGTGAATATGATGCTTGTGATGTTACTCTGTGTTGAACTATGCCTGACCACGGTGAGAATCGAACGTACGACCTTTGGAATACTAGTTCCAAAGGTCGTAGGTTCGATTCCCACTGTGGTCAGGCATAGTTTTCAAGCTTGCCCGGTGTGGATATACACCCAGAGTAACATGTCTAACATCACAAGCATAATAAAAACTGCGTTGGTAATTATCACCATTAACGCTGGTGAAATGTCACTTGTTGATAAAATTAGGACGACAAATGTTTTTTAATACACGAAAGTTAGTACATTGCCTGGGTTTGCTGTGGCGACTGAGCCATGTGTTCATATGCTCCAGCGGTAATTCATACAGAACGCATGCGCGTATTTTCGTCCACGTAAATACAAAATTTTGATCAAAAAAACAAAAATATGTAAACTTTTCAAGTTTTTTCATGAATATTGCTTGACTATGATAACTATAAACGAAGTTTATGTTTTGCTGAATTTCTGATATAACGGTAAGTCTATGGCTGTTTTGTTTAGTCGCCCAGAGTGTATTCAATGAATTAAAAACCGTTGTCATTCTGACTAGTCGAGTAGGCTTGCGTAGACTGTTTTATAGTTCAGTTAATATAACTAGTTGTATTACTAGCTGTATTTCACCGATGGTATTCGTTTTGCATTTTAAAGTTTCATACAATGTATTTACTTCAGACTTTTATCCCCAAATACTCCTTTAAACGCATGTTTATAAATGTCATTTATAAATGTGAACATATGGAGTGATATGGCATATCAATATATTATTAATTTTATTTCCAATTTTGGTTATTCAGTATTTAATTTTAAAATATAATGATAAAATGAAATGCAGAAAAAGGTTCGGTATTTCCAGTTATGAGCATCCACTGAACATTGTTAAAGCCTGCTTCACATAATATTGCATTTATAATAGATCTTTGTCTAAGTATCTAACAGCCTTGTGAAGTGAAATTCTCAGCAAAAAGTGCCTTATTTATCATTTCCACTAGGTTTAACCCATTAAGCTGCATTGCACCCCAGTGCACCCTGCTTTATTATTTTACTCTGGGCGTAAAAAAAAAATACCTGTGGTTCCGGTTTATATCGCGAAAAAATTAGGGTCGGTAGGTCGGAAATAATTTTCTTTTAAATATTTTTTTTCATGGTTTTTTCAATAATTAGTGCGACAACAGTCGCCATTTTGGCAGCAGCCCACAATCACCCGAAGAAAATAGTGTCACACGATCAATCGCGTTGAAAAAATAATAGGGTCGGCAGAAAAAAATAGGGTCGGTTGGGAACCAGAACCACAGGTATTTTTTTACGCCCTGTCTATACAACAGATGATTTTACTTGTCAAGGGGAGAGTGCTGGCACTCAATGGGTTAATTAGACAGATTTAGATTGTGGCCATCGAAGATGACATGAAAATGGCGTGTTGTACCCATGCATGGACAGGGGCGCCGGAAGCAACATGAAGCGGCGGGGGCAGCCATGTAAAAACGGCACTTACTCTTGAGCCTCAATTTTTGTGCCGGGGGGGGGGGCAATGCTCGTTAACATTTTGCTGTATAACAGATACTTCATTACTTGTACCTAATACAGTTAGACAAATTTCGGCATAGATTGGAAAATTTTTATTTGTTGCATGACACTAAAGACTAAAATGTATTGTAAAGCAACATGACAGTTATCAGTTATTTAGGAAGGTTTCCTTTTTTACTTTTTTTCATATTAGATGGAAACTGATTCGTAACGTTTCTGAGAAGAATTCAGATTCAAGTATGAGCTAAATTGTTTAATTAAAAACAGTTTTCAATTTCAATTCATGTGAAAAACGCACGACGTTCGAAGTGCAGTTTTGATAAAAAGGCAACCTGCTGCCCCCGTGCTGCCCCCGTGCTGCCCCCGTGCTGCCCCCGTGCTGCCCCCGTGCTGCCCCCGCACTGTTTAGGCAATGGGGGCAGCTGCCCCCGTGGCTCCGGCGCCCCTGTGTATGGATATGTCATGCCATTTTCACATTGTCTTTGATGTCCGTGTCCTCGATCTGCCCATTTACTTGTCTAATGTCGGATGATTTTACTCAGTGGATTAATAATAAAGACCATGAGACTGACGTTATTCTTCAAGGAAATATATTGCATTTTGTCATAGAATGTACTGAATATCACAAATATGTAAAATTCCAAATTGCTGTATGTGCACTTTGAATATTTCTATATTTGATTGAATATAGTGATAGTGAAATTGCATTAATATGTCATGGTTGGTTGACCTGGCCGGTAAAGCCGAATCCTTGCTGGAAAAGGTTGATCAAACAGCAGCCAATGCTCTTCATGTTGACAAAGGGATTGGTTCTGATCTCACTTCAAGTACTGTGAATGCAGCGCCCAGTCGTTCCTATGCACCGGGGGTTGAAAAAAGTCTTGGAAGAGACAATGACAACACCACAGCTGCAAAGGGGATTGGGAAAAGCAATGTGAATGTCACTAATAGTAAGTATAATTATTGATAATTGTCAGAGATATATCAAAACTCATTTGTACAGATTTTACATAGATGGTGCATGTTGACTGTTGCTGCCACTACAGTAGTACAAATTACATAAAAGCGCCATACTGTAAATGAGGTCACCTATAGATAGAGTAGGGATAGATCCTGCCATATCTGAGTAGGTTGGGGGGGGGGGTGGGGGTGCTCATTGAGCTGTGGCCTTTAGTCTGCCTTGTGACATAGTTTGAGGTAAATATGATAATTTAGCCAGTCATGCAAGCCAAATGTTTATGCGGGGTTTTCCTTTATCCACAAACTACATCACAAGAGACTTTTTAAAAATGTCTACTGCTAGAGGGTGAGCTGCAGGCACTAGTCTGTAGTCTTCCTTGACAATTTCAGAATCATGTTACTATCTTATTTTGTCTCTATTCTCCAAAAATGGCCAATGCCAGATGTGGCCATCCCCCCCAGTCAATCCATCCATGCTATGGACTTGATGTGTGATCATACTAGTCCACACACACATTCACCCACATGAATATACACATGATTTATCACATAGGCAAAATATGATCATATGCCCCCTACTTTGTTTTACTCTGTCTGATGCCAGATGATTTTACTTGTCAAAACTCAAGGGGAAAGTAAGGCGTAAAAAAAATACCTGTGGTTCCGGTTTCGTATCTTGAAAAACTTAGGGTTGGTAGGTCGGAAATAAATTTTTTTTTGAATATTTTTTTCATGGTTTTGGCGTTTTTTGCTGGGCGATTTGCAGCAGAGTCCCGACATCAATATTAACTAGAGATTCATATTTCCTATGGACGAATTTAGGCAATTTGGTTCAATAATTAGTGTGACAACAGACGCCATTTTGGCACGCTGTATGAGCAGCCCGCAGCCACCTAGAGAAAATAATAGGGTCACACGGTCAATCGCGTTGAAAAAATAATAGGGTCGGCAGAAAAAAATAGGGTCGGTCGGGAACCGGAACCACAGGTATTTTTTTTTATGCCTAAGCACTGCCACTCAACAGATTATTTTCAATACACCCTAAGCTTCTGGAAAGTATGTCATTTTGGCTATGGAGCCTTGTTTTAGTGTATGTGAGATTAGTTCAGTCCAAGCCTGAATCATGAAAACGAGGCTCTATAGCCAACATGATATACTTTCCAGATCTATTGTCTCTGGCTGTGTTTTAAATAATAGTGAAGTTTAATTATTTAGAAATACCTACAGTACAAAGTTCTCTCAATTTTTTAGAATGCAAATTTCTTTCATCAAAAAATTTAAATGAATTTTTGGACCTTGGCAACACTTTGATAATTATATTGACTAATTACCTGGATTATTTTCCCGGCACTGTTCTCCATTCCCACAATTTCTTTATAAAAGATATTTGGATGTTGTTTCTGAAGCCCAGAAATTTTCCCAGGTGTCTTTAGAAAATTTGAAGATGAATTATATTTGTAATTTGAACCGTGCAGTCATAAATCGTTATGTAGGTCGTCCTTCATCTCCAAAGCCTAAGACTAGCACCCAGCCTCCCAAGACGTCATCACAGACAAGCAACAGTCACAAGAAGAATGATGATCAGTTATTTGAGTTTCTCAACAGTGGCTCAACCCCAGGTGATAAGAAGAGGATTGCCAACCAACTACGGTCAACATCCCCAGTGGAAACCTCATCACCTAAAATGCCAAAACTCAATAATGTTGAGACAGAACAAAAGAAGAGATCAAATTTAACTGCATCAGGTACAATCTGCAACCCTAAATAGCTACCTATGTCCCCCCCCCATCTATGTTCTCCCCACAAAAGTTTTCTAATTTCCCATTTTACTAATTTAAATTTTGGCGCCTTTGTATTCTATTTTGATAAAAATTGATTCTGATAGTGATTACGCGCATTTTGTTTTGTTTAAGCTGATGCAATAAATATCAATCATTGAGGAAAACAAAGAGAATTCAAAGCAGAACAGCTTTTATAATGCATGATAATCTCTACAACTGTACAATTTAACAAACCATCTGGGATTCCAAGTGTGTAAAACTTATTGAAAAGTTAGCCATGAAATTTTCCCATGAAATTGTAGACCACTAAAGATTTTGGCCTACAAACGTCTTTTTGCATGACAATTTGTAATTTGCAGGCTGATTGATAATAATTTTCTTCTAACAGGTTATTTTCCAGAGAGTGAATCATCCTACCAGACTGATGATTCTGTTGATGTTATTGACGCGAGTCCTGAGCATAGTTCAGACAGAATTGTGGCCACAAAACTACCAGAAGTCGAGGCACTACAGACTGCAGAAAATAAGCAAAGTGGAGTGAATGTTGAGCAGCCTGCTAGAGTGTCGAATTTGGAACTAGAAAATAAATTATTGCGAAAGGAAGTGGACTCACTGAACGGAGAATTATTGTCTCTTGTTCAACGCTCAAAAGAAGCCCAAGAAAGTAAGTTTTTCGTTGTAGAATTAAAATCTTGCAGTCAGTCTTAACAACTCGCCTCTGGTAGCCACCTTGTTACTCATGTCCAGGGACGTCGCTATAGGGGGTAACACTCAATAATTCAAACGTTGGTCAAAGTTGGTCAAAATGGAACTGATATTTGCCCAAAGTTGGTCAAAATGGAACTGATATTTGCTTAAAATTGAAGGTAAAACTCGGAAAAATTTGGTAAAAGTTTGGGAAATAAGATGGTTGAAGTTGTTAAAACTTATGGAATGGTTCTCACTTTTAACAATTTTAAAGCTTCAGTTACGTTTGCGGTGAAAAAATCGGAGGCATTGGAGATATTTGTCGAAATATTTTGAATATGGAAAATTTTTTTGACGTTTATTTTGGTAAGGGAGAACGGTATGAAAGGAAGGATTATGGCGGTGTTCGGAATTTTACAAATGGCATTTGGAAAACAGGATTCTGGAAAGTTGCTTGCAACAACCTCACACTGTAACAACCTAAAATTAACATGTCTTAAAAACCAATGGCAGCCGACAATTTCTGAAAATATAAAACAAAATACAATTCTAAGATTTTAATAGCATCTTGAAATTCAAATATATGAGAGCCAAAACAACTCGTGTGTTGACGATAACTAAAGTTACATGATGATTTTGAAATAAAATTGAAATATCACAAATTCGTTCTCGTCTTGTTTCGACTCGTATCGTACGTTTCAAGATGCTAATTTTCAGATTGTGTTTTGTTTTAACATGTCCTGTGACTTGGCTTCCTTAAGCCTGGTTTCCATATATGGTCGTAACGGTTCCTGTGACTTGGCTTCCTTAAGCCTGGTTTCCATATATGGTCGTAACGGTCGTAAAGATTGAGTCACGATCTTTCTCATCAGCCGAAATACAACATTTTAGAACTGAAAATACGCGGAGTGATTATAACTAGAGAATACTTATGATTTATATGTAGTTTTACAGGTATAAACTATTATAAACTGGCCGTTGAGAAAGATCGTAACTCTATTTTTACGCCGGACCTTATGGAAACCAGGCTTTAAGAAAAAGTGATCAGTGTGCGACTCTTTAGTTTTATTGTCTTTCATGCATTGTTATAATCAATCAATTAACAACCTGTTCATACGGGTGGTGCTGGTGTCAACCCCAATTGTACCCACTAAGCCTCCTTAGAGAAGGGCTATAGAAGGACTATAACCCCCCTGCCCCCCTCTCCCCCATAAGTATATGACTGTGTAGATTCTGGTAGTTGTTTTCTCTTGCTTATTTTAAATCTTTTTCCCTGATACAGGAGTTCAAAGTGCAGAAAGAGAATCTGAGAGGTTAAACGAACAGTTGAAAAAGGAAGGGAAATTGCTGCGAGAATTTCAGTCACGTGAAGATGATCTCAGAGAAGCTATGAGCGCCAAAGATTCGCAGCTTGCTGTTCTCAGAATACGAATCCAGGAAAGTGACCAAGAATTACGAGAAACCAAGCAAAAACTGGGAAGATTTCAGAATGAAAATGAAAGGTGAGTGAAAGGAAAACAGGAAGGATATGAAGTATGAACCCAATATTGCCATCGTCAACAGAAAGTTGACTACTTGACTCAAGATGGATTCGAATCTGAATGTTGAAGTGTTTTTGTAGATACGTTACAGTATATACATTTTTATACCTGACCAGTAGCTGTTACGAAAAATGCATCTACAGCCTTTCAGCAGGAGTCGAATCTGCGACCCCGCGATTCCGATGCAGTGCTCTAACCACTGAACTATAGAGAACAGTTACCGACCTAAAAAGTTGACTCAAGCCACATATTTAAACTTGCATATTCAGCAGGGCTCGAAATAGCGGGCTGCCAATGGCCAAAAGCAGGCCATATTTAAAAAATGGCAGACAAAAACAAATTTGAACTGCCAGGTAAAAAAAATGGCAGGTGATATTCTATAGATATATTTCATTTCATTTGCTTACCACAACTCGTAAATACTAGATCATATAGTTGACTATAAATACGTTTATATTTGAAATGTAAATCCAAGTTTACTGTAGTAAAATGGACAAGTTTAAAAATAATAAAAATGCATATCATGAAAACATTAATTTTTACAATGATTTATACGAGACATCGCCATTTTGGAAGTTCAATGAATAAAAATGTCAGGCTAAAATTTATTTCACCTGCCAAAAAATTTTAGATTGGCAGGCCATATTTGTTCTCTACTTCGAGCCCCGATATTTAATGAATCGAGTTTGTAGATATACGCTTTACCCAATAAAAAATTGTAATATCGAGTCAAGTGGATTGAGCTTAATGAAATAAAATTCGAACATGAATTGAAATTTTCATGATAGACTTATTGCACTTGATTGTACATGTACCAGATTCGCATCGGAGCGACATCAAGTTTTACAGTTTCAAGGGGAGTTTAGCACTCAAATTACGATAATATAACAGAATTAGTCAAAAACGTCAAATATGAAAACTTGTAAGAGGTCGAAAAACGTCTTAGTTGATGTCGCTCGACTCGCTCCGATGCGAATCCGGTATCGTGTAACTGGGGCCTTATTCCAACTAAACCTTGATTATATTCGTTCCCAGAATACTTCGTGATCACAGCGACTCAAGTGGAATTCAAAATCAGGTGTTGGAAGATTTGAGAGTGAGGCTACAAGAAGCTGTGTTATCGTTGAAACATGAACAAGAAGCACATCAGCAATCTAGGGTATGCTTCACTGTTTACTGGCCTACAAAGCTATGTATTATAGACTTTAATGCGAAGCCATATATCATTTGTAATGTTTGTTCAAATTCTTTTGCATATAGTTTGTTTAAATTTAGTTTGTTAATTTGTAGACTGAAAGTTCACAACGTCAAAGCAAGTTGGAAAGTGAACAAAGATCCATGGCGGAAACTGTGAAGGCACTACAGAAAAATATTGTGGAAGAAAGACGTATCTTTTCATCTTGTTTAACCCTTGTTTAAATTAACTCACTTTTTTATTGTTACAAACTGCAAACAAGTTGTAAGCACAACAAGGTTGTTGTCAAGCCGATATCAGGATGTTTTTGCATTCCTTGTTTCCAGTTGTTGTGACAAGTCTGGAACAAGTTGTTAGCACTTTGTTACAAGGTTGATCACGGTAACAGACTTGCTATACGTTTTTCCAACATGGCTAATACAGGCTGTTCGTAACAAGTTGTTACGAGCTTGTTATCATCAACTTGTTATTAATGGAGAATTTAAGCTTTGCGTTATACGGCAAACGACAAACGCCAGGCAAAGAAAAATTTTACGGTATCAGGCAATAAAGAGTAAATGAACTTGCTGTTTTAAAACTGTAATGCATGACTATTCTTTCGACACAAGAAAGAAAATATGAAACGAAAACGTTCAACGCAAATTTTGCCAAGAAAGTTCGAACCTGCCGTTTGCCGTTCCCGGAAACGTGAAGCTTAAACTCCCTAATAACTTGTTCAGGCCTTAAAATATCTTTTCCAGGGCCGTCTGACAAAATGTCCGGTGACGTTGAGTTTGGGTCGGACATATGTCCGATGACCTGCAGTTCATTTTTGACTCGGAAATAAGTCTGAATGACACCAATGAATAAACGGTAAATGTTGTAAAGATATTAAATAATTTGTTTCTTTCATACATACTTGCCAGAACAGCAGTATCAAAACGACTTCGACAACTTAAGCCCGTTTTCCACTTCACCATTTCGCTCGCCGCCCCGCGCTCGAATACGTTAAAACAACATTTCCAGTTGACCTTTTATACAATAGTACTCTGATTTTCTATTTAACATACAAGCCTGCCTCTAGTCCTGGCCTCCTGGGCTAGGGTACATTTTGATTTACGTCGGACAAAGCTACAGTTCGGTCGGACACCAATACACTCGGGTCAGACAAACAATAAACCTCAGTTTCACTTTGGTC